CCTGGGTGAGCAAGCAATGCCCAGGCGAACGCGCATGGCGCGATTCGCTTCATTTAGCTTCACCACCCGGCGAAGACGCATTGAAACGAGAAGGAGGGGGGCAAAGCCAGGCGTCCCGCCAGGGGCGGCGACCAGACGGGAGGGATCAACGCAGGAGGGGGAAGACCCCCAAGGAGGGGGGGGCGGCCAATGCCCATCTCCGCTCGGACGAGGATGGCGCGCCGACGCCGATCGCGTGGTTGCCCCGCGAGCGCTCGGCTGCCTTAAACGCAGCACCCCAGCCCTTCCGAGAGCAGCGCTCGACGGCGAGCTGACTTGAATGGGGGTCGCCCAGCGGGGGTTTTCCGGACGAGCAAAACTTCACAATCCGATGCAGCCCCTGACGCGAGGCGGCCCCGCAGAGCAGCCCACGAACTGCCGTCGCAAAGGCCGCGGGAACCGGCCGAGCCCCCGAAGGCGGCAGAAGCGCGGTCACAATATCAGGTCGGGCTGGGCCGGGCGCGGGGAGCCCTGCGGGTCGCGCAAGACGACCCCCCAAGTGCACTGCGACAATGGGCGCCGCACCGCGCGCTGCCTCTGCCAGCGCCAGGGCCCGCGCGGCCCCGCGCCAGCACTGCCACCGCGGCGCGCGGGCGCAGCAACCCCGGGGAGCGTGGGCGGGGAAAGTCGCCGCGGGAGGAGGGGCGCGAGTGCCCCGCCCCCCCCGCCCCCGCCCCGCGCGCGCAACGACCCGCGGCCGAAACTTGCATGCCGACTCGGGCCCGGGCGGGGCAGAGCACGGCCGCGAGCTGGGCGCGGCCAGCCAGCGCCGCGGTGCCACGCAGCGCGCGCGCAGGGCCGCGCGCGCGCCGCGGCCGCCCCCCGCGCCGCGACCCTTGCGCAGGCCAGCGCGGCGGCAGCGCGCAGCTCGCGCGGGACCTCGCCCGCGCCGCGGCCCCCCCGCGCCGCGACTGCGCGCGCGCGCGGCGTGAAGTGCCGACCGCGCGCGCCGAGGGGCACCCCGTGCGCGCGATGCACCGCGCCGTCCGCGCGCGCCCCGATGGCGGGCCCGCGCCCGCCCACGCGCCCGCCGCCAGCTGGGGCCCGTGCCCGCCGCCCGCCCGCGCGGCCGGGGCCCTCGAGCCTCCGCGGGGGGCTCGCCCGCGCCCTCCCCGCTCGGGGCTCGCCCCGCTGGCCGTGTCCGGGGGCCGGCAGCCGCCTGCGGGGCGAGGGAGCGGCCCAGGCTGGAGGCCGGCCTCCTCGGCGCGGCCCCGCGCGGCGCCAGGAGCTCGGGGGCGCGCAGGCATGGCTTCCATGGACTTGGCGCGCGGTCGCCACATCCATGGATCGGGGGAAGTGCCCCCCCCCCCCCCAGAGTGCGGCCGGCGCCGCCCTGCTCGGCGGCGGAAATCTGCAATCTCCATTGGAAACGGCACCCGTCGCTAATCCACGCCCCCTGTCACGGACATACAAAACGTCCCTACCCTGGTTTACGAGGCGCTGTGCGCTGAAACTCCTGTGGGCTGACAGGGCAAACCCTGCGTGTGTGCCGCGCCCTGGCGGCTCCAGGCTTTGGGGGTTCCCAGGAGGTTTACAGACCACGCGCTTGCAACACAGGGTAGGGCCGTTTTTTCTTCCCTCAACCCTGGATCCGTAATAAAGGGAGGGGGGTCTCATTTCGGGGGGGGGGTCTCTTCCAGGCTATCTTGGAGGGCCTGGGGGGTCTGGGGACGATGTTTTGGAGGGTTCTCCCACGGGGGAGGTCTGAAATGGCTTGTCTGGGAGGGTCCAGAACCCCCTCACTTTTATTACGGGATCTGGAGTAATCCACGCCCCAGCTGGATCCGTGTTTGCGACCGCCTGAGAAGCGTCGCTCACGTCACCCCGCGCCCCCTTGCTGCGGGTCCGCTGGCGCCCCTAGGACAGGATCGGCGGGGCGCGCGCCCGCGCCCGGAGGCCCGCCCGCACCCCACCGAGCAGCTCCTCTGCAGTGGGAGGGGCGCCAGTTCCTCTGGGCGCGCCGTGCTATACAGTCGGGGCGTTGACCTAAGGAACCCTAAATAAGGAACGAGGCCCCTTTTCTCCAGGAGTTGAACCTCGGTTTCCCTTCGGAAGTCTGAGGAGAACGTGGGGCAAACTGCGAACAATCCAGGAACACGGAGCCCCTTCCCCAACGAAAAGGGTTCCTTCTTCAGGGTCCCGACTGTACAAGCTCGGGTCTGCCGCGGAGACGGGTCGACCACGGGAACGGCGGCCAAAAGAGAGGCCGCCCCGAACCAGCGCGGGCCGGGCGATTCAACGAGCCAACACGGGTGTCGATGTTGTCCGCCAGCGGGCAGTAGGATGCGACCAAGCGGTCGACGTGCGACTCGGTGTCGACGAGCGCCGCCTTCCTCTTGTGGATGGCGTCCTGCGTCGATTTGACCTGCCTGCGCAGCCGCGCCGCCTTGTTCTCCAGCTGGAGGGCCTGGAGGCACGACTGCCGCTGGTCTTGCAGCTCCTGCTCGGCCTTGAAGGAGCTTGGAGTGTCAGCGGGGAGCCCTACCTTTCCAGCAATGGGTCCCCGCCTCCGCGAGGTCGACGGGGCTGGCCGGAGGCGCCGCATTGGAGGCTGCAGCTGGGAGGTGCCGCCCCTCTTGCTGGCGGCCGGAGCGAGATTGGGCGGCTGTGCCCCCCTTGGCGCTCCATCCTCCTCGCGCTTGCCCTCGCCGCCCTTCCCCCTGCCAAAGCTGGCGATCGACTGGGGGGATGGGGGGCGGGAGCGCGCGGCTTGCTGTGGAATGGCCCCCCAGTTTGGGGGGCGGAAAGATACGGATACGTGTTGTCCCCGGACCTCTCTTGGGGCGCGTTCTGACCAGAATTTCGAGGCGAATCCAGCGGTGACAACGAGGATTCCCCAGGAGGACCAGAAAAGGCCGAAAACGAAGGGGGACAACACGTATCCGTATCTTTTTCTCCCCCGACCACTGACCGCGGACACTCCTGCGCAGACCGAAATGGTGCGGCCCCTTGGTCATAGGATGGCCAGGGCTGGCCATCCCGGCGTCCCAGAGCGGGCACGGTTTTGGCCGCGGTGCTCGCCTGGGCCCGCAGCCGTGGCAGGCAAGACCGCCCAGCCGCACGGATAACCTGGGCCCTAGCCTAAACGGCGCGGCGCTGCGGCATTGCGGACTCCAGAACTCCAGCCGTGTTTGTCGAGTCGGTCTGGCCGGTTTTCGGGCCGTAACTCGGGCCTCTGGCGGCCGCTCGGGACGATCAGGGCGACCCCCGGAACAATCTCGGCGAGGCGCGGCTGCTGGAAAGCGTCCCGAGGCTGGGAACCCCACAAGAACCGACGAAAACGTCCACAAACCTGGGCCCTAGCCTAACCGGCGCGGCGCTGCGGATGCTGAGGATTCTGGCGCGATTGTTGAATCGGTCGGGCCGACACAAAGGCCGCGAGCTAATGCAGTATGCGACGCAGTGACCCTTAGCCCACAGTCCGTGAAGAATTCCCGAGTCCAACCATGTGCGGCGATGCGGACGCCAGTGCCCCAGCCGTGTTTGTTGAGTCGGTCGGGCCAAAACTCTCGAGCGCGAAAGATACCCGCACCCTTACCTAGGAAGGGTGGCAAGGGGCCGGGGGGGGCGGTTCGTCGCAGCTGACGGCGGCTGCACAAGTGTAGAAACGACAGCCGATCGAGCATTACATACCGCTGTCTTCTCGGGGCGCACGTTAGCACCGATCGCACGTGCGTTCGAATCGGCGGAGTGCCCGACCATGCGTTGGTTGTTGTCGATGTAGACCAGCTACTGCGGAGGCGCGCCCCCAGACACACATCCGGGCGTTGAGGAGTCAACGCGCATTCGGGGGCGCATGCGAACAACTCTGGCGCGAACGTCATTGCGCGACGGCCGCCCTATCGCGAATTGCTCGATGCAGAGACATCGCGAATCTGTGCTTTGGGCGAGGTCGCCAGAAGCCGCCCCCCTTGGACGGCCGTCCGCGGATCACCCCAGCTAGGTACGGTTGCCCCATGAAAACTCAAAGAACATACCCGTACCTAGCCGGGGTGGCGCAGCTCACCCCAGCTAGGTCCGGGTATGTTTCGGTGGTTTCAGGCAGGTCCCCGTACCTAGCCGAGGTGGCGGCAGGCCCAAAACGCTCTCGAACACATATCATGCCCTCCAGAGCCGTCCCCGACGTGGCCGCTGCGGCCCCCTGGGGGCGCGACATTGCAACGTCGTTCCCCAGTGCAGGCCCAGACGCATTAATTGGTTGCCAGGATAGCGAGGAAATGCAACTCTTTATCGATTGGGACAGGCGCCACCACATATGGGCGGCTTTGAACCGCGCACGCACCACGATGCCCCGAGACGTCCCTAACAAAAACCAGCGCTTGTCGCTGCAATCAGACACCCAGCCATCGAGCGCGCCGTTGCGTCTTGACGCGCGGATGCTGCACTGGCGCGCGCGGGGCAAGCTGACCGGGCACAATTGCAAACGCCCAGTCCCCCGGAGGGCCCATCTCACCTTGGCTGGCCCCGGGTACGGGTATCTTTCGGACCAATGAAAAACAGCGGACCGCAGGCTAGTTGGGTTTGCAACGCATAGCCTCAGCCCACAGTCTGGCAGAGTTTCAATGATGACGGAGATGATGTGCCATCTCGTGGCTGAGCAGATACCCAGTGCTGGGTAGGCTAAGCAGCAGCACAATGGTGAACCGTGACAGACGTTGCCACCAGCCCACCAAGCAAGACCCCAGAACTTGGATACAATATGTGGCATTGCGGATTCCAGAACTCCAGCCGTGTTTGTTGAGTCGGTCTGGCCGGTCTTCGGGCCGTAACTCGGGCCTCTGGCGGCCGCTCGGGACGATCAGGGCAACCCCGGGAACGCTCTCGGCGAGGCGCGGCTGCTGAAGAGCGTCCCGAGGCTGGGAGCCCCACAAGGACCGACGAAAACGTCCACAACCCTTTGCTTCGATGTCGTGCAGCGCCCCCCCCCTCCGAGGGGGGGCCACGGGCGCCCGCCGGCGGGCGGTCCATCTCCCCGCGGCTGGCCAGCGCGCGGAGCAGCTGCTCCACGGCCTCGGAGGGCAGCGTCTGGCCCGGCGGCAGCGGCGAGGGCTCGCGTCCGAGGCCGCACGCCTCCCGGGGCGGCGGGCGCCGCCACCGCCGCTCGCGCGTCGAGGGTCGAGCGCCGAGGGCCCCTGCCAAGTCTTGCCCCAACCCTCGAGGGCCGAGGGGTGGGGAGGCGGCTCCTGGGAGGTCTTCGTGGGAGCGATGAGCACGAGCGGCCATGAAGCTCAGGGGGGGGGGGGCACTCGGGGGCTTTGGGTCCTCGCGTGGCCGCCGTCGCCGCTCGAGCGTCGAGGGCCCCAAAGCTTTGACGATCCGGTGTTGACAGTCTGGGCTGTCCTCTGTGGTCTCGGGGGCCCGTTGCCGGGCTCTGGGGCACCCCAAAAGGCAGGTCCAGGGCGCAACAGCTACCTGCGGGGAAGCGGTCGGGACCCCAGGGGCCGCGGACGAACAACATCACATCGGCAGAACGTCAGCGCTGCCGTCGTCGTCGCCGTCGTCGTCGCCGTCGTCGTGGTCGTCGTCGTCGTCGTCGGCGTCGGCGTCGGCGTCGGCGTCGTCGTCGTCGTCGGCACCAGCGTGGCGTCGTGGTCGTCGTCGTCGTCGTCGTCGTCGTCGGCGTCGTCGTCCTCGTCGTCGTCCTCGTCGTCGTCGTCGTCGTCGGCGTGGTCGTCGCCGGCGTGGCGTCGTCGTCGTCGTCGTCGTCGTCGGCGTCGTCGCCGTCGTCGTCGTCGTCGTCGCCGTCGTCGTCGTCCTCGTCGTCGTCGTCGTCCTCGTCGTCGTCCTCGTCGTCGTCGTCGTCCTCGTCGTCGTCGTCGCCGTCGTCGTCGTCGTCGTCGTCGTCGTCGCCGTCGTCATCGCCGTCGTCGCCGTCGTCATCGCCGTCGTCGTCGTCGTCGTCGGCGTCGTCGGCGTCGTCGTCGTCGTGGTCGTCGTCGTCGTCGGTGCGTCGTCGTCGTCCTCGTCGTCGTCGTCGTCGGCGCCGTCGTCACCGGCGTGGCGTCGTCGTCGTCGTCGTCGTCGCCGTCGTCGTCGTCGTCGTCGTCGCCGTCGTCGTCGTCCTCGTCGTTGTCGTCCTCGTCGTCGTCCTCGTCCGTCGTCGTCGTCGTCGTCGTCGCCGTCGTCGTCGTCGGCGTCGTCGTCGCCGTCGTCATCGCCGTCGTCGCCGTCGTCATCGCCGTCGTCGTCGTCGGCGTCGTCGTGTCGTCGTCGTCGTCGTCGGCGTCGTCGTCGTCGTCTCGTCGTCGTCGTCGTCGTTCGTCGTCGCGTCGTCGTCGTCCTCGTCGTCGTCGTCCTCGTCGTCGTCGCCGTCGTCGTCGTCGTCATCGCCGTCGTCGCCGTCGTCGCCGTCGTCGTCGGCGTCGTCCGCGTCGTCATCGCCGTCGTCGTCGTCGTCGGCGTCGTCGGCGTCGTCGTCGTCGACGTCGTCCTCGTCGTCGTCCTCGTCGTCGTCGTCGTCCTCGTCGTCGTCGCCGTCGTCGTCGTCGTCGTCGTCGTCATCGCCGTCGTCATCGCCGTCGTCATCGCCGTCGTCGTCGTCGTCGTCATCGGCGTCGTCGACGTCGTCGTCGTCGTCGTGGCGTCGTCGTCGTCGGCGTCGTCGTCGTCCGCCTTCGCAATCACGTCGGCGGGTGCCAGGCGTCGAGGGTCGAGCGTCGAGGGCCCCTATGCCAGCGTGCTGCCACCACTGCGCGCCCCCCCCGGGGGGGGGGGGAGGAGGAGCAGCGGCCGCACGGGTAGGACGCGAGGGGGAGGAGGAGGAGGAGGAGGAGGAGGAGGAGGAGGAGGAGGAGGAGGAGGAGGAGGAGGAGGAGAAAAGGAGGATGGGAGGGGGGAGGAGGATGATGAGGGAGGAGGGAGGAGGAGGAGGAGGAGGAGGAGGAGGAGCAGGAAGGAACCCCGCTGCGGCCTGCGTCGAGGATCCCTCCAGGTTCTGCCCTCGGCCCTCGAGGGCCGGCGGGGTGGGGTTCTCGGACGTTCTTGGCCCTCGTCGAGCCTCCCCAGACCTGCGAAAGCATCGGGGACCTCTGAAGGCGCCTGGGGACCTCCGCGGGTGGTCCGGGCCTGGGGCGGGAGCGAAATCTACTAGAGTCGAGGGTCACTCTCCTCCTCCTCCTCCTCCTCCTCCTCCTCCTCCTCCTCCTCCTCCTCCTCCTCCTCCTCCTCCTCCTCCCTCTCGTCCGCATCCTCTTCCTCCTCCTCTTCCTCGTCTTTATTCCTCATCCTCATCACCATCCTTATCGTCATCATCATCATCATCATCATCATCATCATCATCATCATCATCATCATCATCATCATCATCATCCTCATCCTCATAATCATCATCATCATCTTCATCATCATCATCATCATCATCATCATCATCATCATCGTCATCAACATCAACCTCATCATCATCACCGTCCTTATCGCCATCGTCCTCATATCACTATTGATAATTCAATGTATCACTCACATCGTTTTCTTATTGAAATCACGTCCCGTCGTAGTTGCATTATGATTGTTAGTGCTAACAGACTTGCTCTTGTTAGTGTGAGCAGTCGTGTTATTAATGGAATTAGTTTGACACTTCTTGTTGCTGCTACTTGCCAAGTAGTAAAGTGTTTGACCATCGGCGGAGAATTGTATAGCTGGTCCCGCGTGCCGCGGACGACCGATTAGGATGCAGAAGTGCCCTGATGCGAATTCGAGAGCCTTCGTGAACTCCCTGGGATGGCCAGCCAGCGAAGCAAGAGCGACAGCGTTGGATAAGGATTCCCAGGGCCACAGTGTGTCAAAGCGAGAACGAATGCAATGGGGCATCGCGTTGACATCGGCATGCCAACGACGATGACGAAAACGACACTGACAATCTCATGCGACCCATGTGGAATGATTGCGCTGTGAGTGGGTCCAAATTGGAATGCTTTCTGGGCCGATTTTCGATACATTCATATATATATATATATGTACTAATACTACATTATACTATTACGGAGTACGAGCCCATCGGATTCGGACCGCTTCCTGACCAAAAACCTATCGCTAATAATTATATGGTCACAACTATAAGACCCCCGTGTATTACTGCTTTCTTATCAATAGAGGTAGGCACTGCTCCATTTGAATTCGTATTCTTCTCCTTCGTCGCATGAGCATCATGGTTGTTCAGAACCCCCGTGCATCCCAATTTCAATGTTAACAACAGGGTTGCCTTGTCCGTTGAGTATTGGGCGTTTGTGATGCCGATACTTGCACCCCGACAACGGCCGCGAACGCAACATTGAAATGGGGCGTCTGGGGGTGGCATCGTCGAAGCAACGTCTGTGGATGGGCGTTTGTTGCGGCAACAGCGGTATCGCTATCACGGCTGTATACGCCTCGAGATTAGGGCCAAACGCGTCGTCGCCGTCGCAGTCGCCGTCGTCGTCGCCGTGGTCGTGGTCGCCTCCGTCGTCGTCGTCGTCGTCGTCGTCGGTCGTCGGTCGTATGTCGTCGGTCGTCGGTCGTCAGTCGTCGGTCGTCGGTCGTCGCCGGTCGTCGGTCGTCGGTCGTGCGTCGTCGTCGTGCCATGGCCGCGCGATCTGGCCACCTCGCGCTATCCGCCAGACCCCCTCGCGCCGTATAGAAGCCAGAAGGATGGAAAAACTGCTGATCCAGACAGCTCTGGTTGGTATACCAAGCACCAAGCCCTTGGACCGTCAAAACAGATCGGGATGAAAAAAAAGCTGGTCCCGAAAAAGGGCTCGAGACCTGCGGGGGTCCGTGCTGTGGCAACCCCTGCAACCCCCGAAAGAAAAAACTGCAGGGGATCCGACGTCGTACCCGGCCCACCCTGCGCTGAACCAGCCCATCCGGTGCTGATGGAAGAAACTGCCCTGGCCCCAAAATGTCCCAGCAGTGCTGGACGGGGGCCATCAGACCACAGAGCTGGGACAAATTCTTGCCCTGAGGGAAGGGAGGAGTCTTTGTGGGACGCAGGAAAAATTAAAAACGGCAAAAGAAGATTCCAAAATAGCTGGAAGTTGTAGAAAATGTGTCCCTCGATGTTTTCCTATTTTTGGGAACTCCTCCTGTAGGCTGGGAACATCACCTCGCCGGATGACCGAGTCCGCCGCGGGGCTCGCGCGGGGCGGCAAGCAAGGGGGGGGGGGGTCGTCGCGTGCGGGCCTGGCTGCGAACACGCACCCTCTCCCGCGCTCGGGGATGCAGCAAAACCCGCACAGTAGCGATGCGCGATGAGGATGCAAGGGTCTCGGATGCCGATTCCGAGGCTCTTCGAGCGGGGCGCGGCCAACGAAAGTGGCCGAGGCTGGACCGAGGAGGCAAGGATGCAAGGCTACCCTTGGGAAGGTTGCCCATCCTTACCATGCGGGTTGGCTGTGGCCGCGCCAGCGTTGTGAGGCAGCCCACGCTGCAGTCTGTCCGGACAAGTAGGAGTGGGAGGAGGAGTGGGAGGAGTGAGGAGGAGGAGGAGGAGGAGGAAGAGGAGGAGGAGGAGTGGGAAGGAGGAGGAGGAGGAGGAGGAGGAGGAGGAGGAGGAGGAAGGGGAGGAGAAGGAGGAGGAGGAGGAGGAGGAGGAGGAGGAGAAGGAGAAGGAGGGGGAGGGAGGAGGGGGCAAACAAACGATTTCCCACACCCACCGGGGAAACCTCGGTCCCGCTGGCCGACCTGCCCCCCCCCCCCCCTCCGTGGAGGCGGGTGCCGTCTCCCCGCGGTTCCGCCGCACCCATCTCACTCCTCGAGGGGGTTCGCTGGGAGAGCCACCTTGAGTCTGGTCCCGTCAATGACCGCCAGGCGGGGGAGGAGCTCAGCTGACCCAATGAGCAGCAGGGGGGAGCGCAAATGCAGGCCAGGGGCGGAAAGGAGCTCGGCTGCACCGCGGACGGGTGGAGGAGCTCAGCTGCCCCAGTGCGAAGCGGAGGGGAGCGAAAGCGCAAGAGGGGTGGGGAGAGAAGCTCGGCTGCCCCGATACGCACCACAAGCAGCCCGTTGCGCGTGGACGCGGAGCCCCACACGCAGATGGAACATGCAAGTTTGGCGCGATACGTTCTCCAAAACGTGAGCCAACACGTTTGAGCCAACACGCAGCGTGTTGACACGGACGCTGCAGGGCAGCCAGGGCGAGGAGGGTACGCGGTGGATGGGGCGGAGGAGCGGGGGCGCGGGGACGCAGCCGCGCGCGGGAGCGAGCACGGAGGCGCGCAGATCCGCTGGGGCGGGGCCTCCGGGGGTCAGCGCGTGGAGGCCAGGGCCGCCGGGGCCCCGTCGTCGCCGAGCTGGTGCTGGTTGGCGCGGGGACCCGCGCACCCCAGGAGAGGAGGAGGAGGAGGAGGAGGAGGAGGAGGAGGAGGAGGAACAGGAGAGGAGGGGAGGAGGAGGAGGAGAAGGAGGAGAGGAGGAGGAGGGGGGGGAGGGGGAGAGGAGGAGGAGGAGGAGGAGGAGGAGGAGGGGAGGATGAGGGGAGGAGGAGGAGGAGGAGAGGGGGAGGGGAGGAGGAGGAGGAGGGGAGGAGGAGGAGGGGAGGAGGGAGGAGGAGGAGGAGAAGGAGGAGGAGGAGGAGGAGGGGGGGGGGAGGGAGAGGAGGAGAGGAGGAGGAGGAGGAGGAGGAGGAGGAGGAGGAGGGAGGGAGGAGGAGGAGGAGGAGGAGGGAAGGAGGGAAGGAGGATGAGGGAGGAGGGAGGGAGCAGGAGAGCAGGAGGAGGAGGAGGAGGAGGAGGAACAGGAGGAGGAGGAGGAGCGAGCGTCGCAAGAGAAAGGTCGCGGCGGCCGGCTGTGCGTCATTCCCAGCCCCTCGAGGAGGCGAGGCGCCGCCGTGCGGGCCCTCCCACCGGGGTCGCCAGTGGAGCCCCCCGCATGGGCACGAAGTGTACGAGGGGGGTGCCCGAGCGGAGGAGGAGCACGGCAGGGAGGAGGAGGAGGTGGGAGAAGGCGGGGGGGAAGGAGAGAGGAGGAGACGGTGGGCTCGAAGCGAGGACCCCACGGCAGAGGAAGGCCGGGAATGCGAGGGGGGCACCGACAGGTGCACAACTGCCTCCTCCGAGGGGGCCCTCGGCGGAGCGGGCAAAGCGGTCCTTATCCGCCGCAGTCCGCGCCTCCTCCTCCTCCTCCTCCTCCTCCTCCTCCTCCTCCTCGAGGGGCCCCAGGGCCTCCTCGACCAGGATCTGCGCCCTCTCCAGGTGGCCGTGCCGTACGCAGCCGTTGATGAGGGACTGGTACGCCTTCGCGTCGCAGGCCTGGGCGCGGGGGCGGCCTCCCCCCTGCTCTTGCCCGCCGCGGGCGAGGCGGGCCCGGCGAGGGCGGCCATGAGCGACAGAGGAGAACGCGCAGGGGGGGGGGGAAGGCGAGAGGGAAAGGGAACGAGGATAAGATCTAGGATGCAGGGGAATGTCCTCGTTTGAGCTCAACGCCCTCTCTGTCTGAGGGTCGAGCACTGCGGATGCAGGGAGCGCAATGCTCCCGAGCGGGAGGGAAGGAGACGAATGCTTATACGGGTACCTTACGATGAGAATAACAATAGACATACTTAGAACATGTAGATTGAACTAACAATAACAATACAAGTAACACCATATTACGAATAAACAGTATGATGCTACCGTTAATCATATTAACAATCATACGAATACTCATAGTAATACTCGTACTACTACTACTACTACTACTACTACTACTACTACTACTACTACTACTACTACTACTAATACTACTACTACTACTACTACTGCTACTACTACTACTACTACTACTACTACTACTGCTACTACTACTACTACTAATAATAATAATCATAATAATAATAATAACAATAATAATAATAATAATAATAATAACAATAATACTAATAATAACACAAATAATGCTAATACAAATAATTCTAATAATTCCAATTGTAATATTAATAATAATGACAATACGAATAATAATACTAATATTATTATTATGTGAATAATGATAATAACGGTGATCTTCAAAACACGACGACTTACAATAATAGTAACAATGCTAATGCGATTCCTACGAACACCAATAATAATGACAATCCTACGAATGCGAATCCTAAACATAGTCACAATAACACTGATATGATGAAGATGGGGGACAGCAGGAACACTGATGATACGAATCCATGTCCACGCACAGTCCGATTCATAGAACAGTATAGAGCCGGGGACCCCCCCCCCAACGAACGAAGTTGCCCCACGACCAGGGAGAGCTCCATGAGAGCCCGAAGACGGCCCCAGAGGGCTCCAGGCGTTCCGGCGCGCTCCCGAAACGACCCAAAGAGAGCCCGAGGACGGTCCACGACGACTCCAAAGAAACCGTCATGTCCCCAAAGGTCGCTCCAAAACGTCCCAACAGGCCTCCAAGAGCACTCCCAAGAAGGCCCCAAGAGGCAGAATTCATTGATTCTCGGATGGTGTTTGGTGAATTTGGGGGGTTCCCCTCTTTTCGGCTTGCCGACGCTCCGAGACGGCGGTCTTCTGGGCGTCCGAAGCCGCCTGGGAGGCTCGAAAATCTGCCCACAACTATCCGAAAGGGCTTCCAGGCAGTCCAAGAGAGCCCCAAGACGGCAAAACAGGGTTCCAAGATGGCCTCAGAGAGCCCCATGACAGCCCAAGACGGCCCCAAGACACCCTCCAAAGCATTTCAAGTCGTGACCTGGTCGTTCAGGGAGACCGCGGTTGGAGGCAGGGTGGCCCGAAAGCTCCCACAGGCCCCCAGAAGACGCCCAGGAGGCTTCCAGAAGGCCTTAAGAAAGCCTGAAAAACTTGTGCGAGGCCCCCAGAGGCTCTCCAAGGAGGAACCTCCGCAAAAAGAGCTGAGGAGGATGGGGAGAAGACAAAGAATATGGCGAGAATGATGAAAAAGAAGCACGGAGGAGGGACGGCGAAAAACGTCAGTATGACGGCGGTGCTCCAAGACGGCCCACGAAGCCCAAAGAAGGCCGCACGCTGGCCCGACAGACTTCCAGGAGGGCCCGCGTGGCGAGAGAGCGGCCACGGCTCGCATCCCTCCCAGCGGGGGGCCTCGGACCCGTCCTCGCGCGCGGGCTCCAAGACTCTCGGAGATCAACGTCGGACGTTGAGACCCCACTGCTTGATCAACGGCATTTGATCAGAGCCTCGAATCATCAGGGGTAACTCGGGTCAGGGGTAACTCGGGTTCGTTTTTCGGGAGTCCGAACCCGACTTACCCCGGACCCGAGTTACCCCGGATAATTCGGGCGTCCAGAGCCCCGAATCATCAGGGGGAACTCGGGTCAGGGGTAACTCAGGTTCCTTTTTTCGGGAATCCAAACCCGAGTTATCCCGGACCCGAGTTACCCCGGATAACTCGGGCGCCCAATTTGAGGTATTGAGACAGATCTCTCCTGTAGGTCACCCTGCGTGATGGCCCCAAGAACAGAATTCACGCATTGTTTCAACGGATCGCCCATATGGGCGACTTCGGAAACCCTGAACCCAAAACGTTTTCATCGCTTGGGGGCGCATGTTTTACTTCCGCCACCTTCCGCCGGCCTTCCGCCGGCGGAGGCGGCCTCTTTCTACTTTCGCCGACCTTCCGCCGACCTTCCGCCCCGGAAGAGATGACAACTCCTTCGATCCCCGAAGGCAAGGCGATTTATGGGACGCCCCATATAGGTCCGAGCTTTCTGGTCAACCTCAAACAACTGTGAGTCAAAGTATGAACCTGCCTCATTCCCAAGAACACCCTTCGCCTCCACGGGCAATCAAACCCTGGCAGAGTCCGAGGTAGCATCGCACTTCCCAGACCCGCCTGAGGCAAAGGAAGAGGAATAGTTGATGCCTCAGCTTCCCCGTGGTGGTCGGGATTCGAATCATCAACCTCGCCGCCCGACACCTTCTCAAAGGTGCCCTTCAGCCATGCGATCGTGCCATTCTTGTCCTCCACTCGGGAGCTGTAGGAGGCTAACTGCGCATCGTACATGACCTGCACATCCTGCTACAACCCTTGGACCGAGAATAGCACGGAGGATGGAACAAAGAGAATTCGCGGAATAGGTGCAACTGCAGGCATGAACTCCGGAGCCTGCACATTGAAAGAGAAATCAACCAACCGCCGCCCAAGCTTCGCAGCTAAGTCGGGCGCACACACACACACACACACACACACACACACGCGCACCGACGAGACCAAATCAGCTCGTTCAGGATAGGCGCTCTGGAGCTGAACGTCAATACCTCGAAGGAATAGGTCAGCCAAAGGAGCACTGACATCTCTCAGAACCTGCCCAGCGATGGCCACCGGTCCAACCCATCTGAGTGAACACGTAGTGAGAACCGATCGCTGCCCATGGGCCGCCAGTTGTAAGCCAGAGTAGCGCAGGCCCGAATACGTTGACATAGACCGCAGAAATCGACCATGGAAACAAGATAAAGAAGCATCAATAACCTCCGTTGTGAAAAAGCACACGCATCTGCAGGAACGTGAAGAAGCACAGTTTCCCCACTGATGCAGGTGCGAACAAGAAACATGCAGGGGCCGAAACAAAAGAAACCCGCCTTGCGCCACAATGGCTGAGGAGGGGCGGGAGGAGAGGAGGAGGAGGAGGAGTAGGAGGAGGAGGCGCGGTTGGAGGGGAGGAGGAGGAGGAGGAGGAGGAGGAGGAGGAGGAGAAGGAGGAAGAGGACGACGACGAAGAGGAAGAGGAGAGGAGGAGGAGGAGGAGGAGGAGGAGGAGGAGGAAGGGCGGACGGAGGAGGAGAAGGACATAAATAAAGAAGAGGAGAGAAAGGAGAGGAGAGAAGAGGAGGAGGAGGAGGGACATGGAGAGCGAGAAGAAAGAGGGAATCATGACTCCATCTTCGATCATCAAGGGTAAAGGACGGATGATCCTCAATCCTCGACGCTCGAGAGGGGGGGGAAGCAGAGGGCGGGCGGGGCGCGGGGTGCGAGCAGCCTGTTCTGATTTCAGCTCCTCGAAGACGGCGAGCGCGCGCTCGAGGGAGTTGTTGTTGATGCAGGTGCACATGAGGCACGTTCGCACCTGCGAGGCTCCGTCGCCGTCACCGTTGTCGTCGTCGTCCTTCCACCTTCCTCTGCCTCCTCCTCCTCCTCCCCCTCCTCCTCCTCCTCCTCCTCCTCCTCCTCCTCCGCCTCCGCCCCCTCCTCCTCCCCTGATAAGTGATACCCAAACCCTCGAGGGTCAAGGAAGTATGAGAATTGTGCTGAATGCTGTTGGCCATTTCCGGGCCCTTACAGAAGGCCTTGCGGGGTCTCCAGGAGCATCCAGGATCTCTGGGGGGTAAGGATCTCTGGGGGGTAAGGATCTCGACCGTAAGTAAACCTTGCCTCCAACACCACCATCTCCTCATCCCCTTACTCCTCCACGTCCTCCTCCTCTTCACCATCTATCAGCTCCGAAATGGCCCGGCTCGCGAGAGCCCACATCGAGAAGCCTGGCGCCCCACGTCATCAGCTGCAGTGCTGAGAACGGGCGCGAGCGCCCCCGCCAGGAGACTGGGCTCCCTCCGCCCTCCCCTCATCCCCCCTGTCGTCCTCTTCCTCCTCCTTCCCCCTCCCCCTCGTCGGTCTGGCGAGCCGCGGCGCCGGCCTCCCGCGAGCGCCGCGGTGGAAGTGCAGGCAGGCCGGGGCCATGATCCGCTGCAGTGTAGGGGTCAGGCCGTGCGATGAAGGCAAGCAGTGGCAGTTGGTGCTGGCGCTGCGAGAGCGGTAAAAGTGCTGGTGGGCCACGGGCAGCGGCAACGCTGGGAGCAGCCCGTGCGAGAAAGGGGGCAAGCAGCGGCAGCCGACGCTGGCGCTGCGAGAACAGTGCGGGCGGGCCACGATCAGCAACCTCGCTGGGGGCAGCCCGTGCGAGCAAGATGGCGGGCAGTGGCAATGAGTGTTGGCGCTGGGGGAAGGTGAAGGACGAGCCCGATGCCGTCAGCTACATCCGACGCCATGTATAAAGCCAGCGGCGACGAGGGATCCCGATGAAGGGCGAGCCAGATGCCATCAGCTCCAGCGGCGGGATCAGGGCAAGGTGAAGCTGGAGCCAGGCCATTCTCCTCATGCCAAGGAGCGGGAGAGGAAGCTGGTGCCCGACGCATCGAGAAAGGGTGAAGGTCGAGCCCGACGCCATCAGCTACAACAGACTCTGCGCGGAAAGCTGAAGGCGAAGACGAAGCCCGATAGCGACAAGACGAGCAGTGGCAGCAGGCGCCGGCACTGCGAGAAGCGTGCAGGAGCGAACGTCACCAGCTGCAGAGCGAGGGTCACCTTGTGTGCGGAGGCACACAGTGGCAGCAGGAGCTGCCAGTGCGAGAAGGGCGCTTGGTGGCAGCAGCAAGTTCGGGCACCACGAAAGTGCGGAAGTGCAGGAGCGGCCGTCCTCGGCTACACTTCCAGGATCAGCTCGTGTGCGAAGGCAGGCAGGGGCAGCAGGCGCCGGCACTGCGAGAGGGGCAAGCAGTGGCAGCAAGCTGTGGCAATGCGAGAGGGCGGAGGTGCAGCAGCGGACATGGACATGTTCAGCTACAGGTCTGGGATCAGCTCGTGTGCGGAGGTCGGCAGTGGGAGCAAGAGCTCGCAGTGCGAGAAGGGCAAGCCGTGGCAGCAGGCCGTGGCACTGCGAGAGGGCGGAGTGTGTAGGAGATAACGTCACCAACTGCAGAGCTGGGATCGGCTCGTGCGCGAGATGGCCAGGGAGCATCCGTGCACAGAGGGGCTGCGATTCGTTGGGAGCTCAGTGGATGGCCTGAGGTCAGGAGAGGGGGGCGAAGCCGGAGCCCAATGTCATCGGTCGGGAGCTGGAGCCAAACGTCCTCAGCTACTGCTTTAGTGTGCCCTTCAGGGCTACAACTCACGAGGCAGCCCTTGTCGCCCAGGATCGGCCTGGGGGTTGGTGCTGTCTCCTCGCGTCGGCCCTGCTGCCGTGCTGTCGACAGGGGTGATCTGGCCATTCGAATCCCCCTCGAGTCCTCGTCGTCGACTCCTCCTCCTCCGCCTCCTCCTCCTCCGTCGCCATTTGGGCTCGGGGTCTGGCCGGGGGGCTCGCTCCGCACGGGGCGCTCCGCGAGCGCCAGGCACCGCGCCGGGCTCGCGCGCGCGCGCGGCCGTGCCGCCGGGGCGGGGCGGGCGCAGCGTGGTCTCCGGCCGCCACGGGGTCGCCGTGGCGCCGGCGCCGGCGGTGGGCAGCGGCCGCCGAGCTCATGCTGCGGCTCCAGGCAGCAAGCACCGCGGCCGCCACGGCGGTGCAAAGAGAAGGCGCCCCGCAGCGCGCGCGGCGATGCGGCGGCGGAGGCGGAGGCGCCGCCTGCCCTGCCCGCCGCGCGCTCGGCGCCCGTGCGCAGGCGGCGCTCGGAGCGGCGGCGGAGCTGGCAGCCCTCCTCCTCCTCCTCCTCCTCCTCCTCCTCCTCCTCCTCCTCCTCCTCCTCCTCCTCCTCCTCCTCCTCCTCCTCCTCCTCCTCCTCCTCCTCCTACGCTGGCCGCAGGCTTGGCCGAGCATCGTTCCCGAGGGAAGCGCCTGAAAGGGGATCTTGTGCGCAGCTGCAGATCGCTGGGCGCAGCTGGCGCTTTCCTGCGCCATGCCCCGCGAGGCGGAGGCCGTGGTGATCAAGCTCCGGGGCTGGCTCACGAGCAAAAGGCCGTCACCATGGGGCCGTCCGCAGAGCTGCTTGTGCCGGAGGGGGTCGAGCAGCGGACGGTGGGGAGCTCCACGGACGACCCGCTCGACAGCGACCAGGCCGAGTACGGGGAACAGCAGTTCGTCACCAGCTCCGACGGCGAGCTTGGGATGGAGGCCTTCTTGGACTCGCTGGCGGTCAGGGGCGTGCACGGCGACGGGGCCTACGACGAGAACGGAGATCCTGGCGGCCAAGGGCCACATCCAGGACCCCAACGACAGGTGCTTCGACGGCCACGTCACGTACGTGGAGCCGCATTGGAGGAAGCCCCCGAACGACAACGTGACGCTGGAGTCGGAGACGGAGCCCGCCGCCGAGCAGGTCGCTCCCGAGTGGCGGGAAGGTGGGACCGAGGGCGACGAGGGCCTCAGCGTGATGCAAATGTCGGCGGTGAAGCCCACCAACCAGCGTGACGAGCTGGAGGACATCGTCAACCCACTGATGATGAAGCACGGTAATTATCGGGAACTCCCCGGACGGGGACAAGAGACAAGGAGGAGGATGGCGGCGCGGTGCTGCAGGGTGCGGCCCCCCAGTCCGGCGGCCCGGACGCGGACGTCACCATATCGAGTATCTCAGCGG